GACGTCTGGGCGGCCTTCATGAGGTTGCGGCTCTCGCGGAAGGTCCTCACCTTGTCCTGGAAGGTCGCGAAAGTATCTGCTAACTCCTTCCCGGACTGAGGGTCCACAGCCATGCATTCGTCGATTTCTAACCAGGGCTTGGAATCCGACCAGGTCCACCAGGTGCCTTCAGCGTCCTGGGTCTGCCACTCGTTGTCATACCAGACCCAGTGTACCTCGGCACCGTCATGGCCGTAGGTGGTCCACTCTTCGTCTATCTCATCCACGGGGTACACCTCAGCAGGAAGTCGGCTGCCAACCCAGTGGATGTCCAGGGAGGCATCGCCTCCCTCATGAGCTTCATCAAAAGCGTCCTCAGCCAGAAGACCCCATTCACCCTGATCTTCCACCCAGTAGCTTCTGCGGTGTCTTGCGGCACGGGGATCTCGTTGTCGTTCTGAAGCAAGGAGGTCTTCTTCTTGATCCCGTAGAGCCTTCTCCACCAGGTCAAACTCAAGCTTATTGCCCGTCACACTAAGGATGGCGAGGCGTGATGCACTGCTCAAGTTAGCCCTCCTTAGAAGCAACCATCCGAGGATTTCTGGTGGCAGCACCTCCACTTCCTCCAAAGCGAAGCGTTCCCATCGAGGCTCAGGCAGAGGTGTCTTAGCTCGGGACGAACCTCCTTCGCTGGCACTTTCCCAGCGCCCTCGTCGACGTCCGTTCCATCCGGAATACCAGGCTTCCCATTCTTCTGCCGCCCAGGCGCGAATCTCCTCGGCAGAAGCCTCACCAGGTACTCGGGAGTGAGCTCCGGTACGCCTTTCATCTGCCACAGGAAGTTCATGATCAGGATGCTCACCGGCGTCTTCTTCTCCTTCTTCTCTGTCGTCATCATCCAAGCCGAAGCCCGGCTCGGGTTCAGCCGTGGTCCATGATCTCCTCCGCAGCGCCGTGGAACTCAGCTTTGCTGGGGAGCCAGACCCTCCAGCCTTGGGGGAGCCCGCCTTCGTCGGGCTTCCTACCCGCGCTCTTGCCATTGCCCGCTGCAGGTTGCGGTAAGCTTCTCTGAGTTCTGCTGACCACTGGGACATACTCTGTCCCGGTGATCTTCTGGTTCTCATAAACAGCTGCTCCAGACGTATTCCCAAATCTGGGACCGGGGTCCGTCCAAGCCGCTGCTCCAGCACTTCCAGAAGATAGGCTGCACCATCTCTGTCCTGCAGACGGGAAAAATCCAGTTCACGCGTCACATCCCACGCTTTTCCAGAAAGCCTGGAAACCAGCTCTGCTCCCAGGCGCTTTTCCGGAGTTCTAGCCCACTGAAGTCTCACCTTTCTGACATAGTCGTTCCACGAATGCTG